TATGTACATACGCTGACATCCACATCCACACTCACCCACACCCACATCCACCCTTGCGCTACTGGATTCTTCCCCACTCTATGTGCTGTGCGCGCTCTACAAACTTCGCATAATCCTCACATAAATTATGCACATTTCTCTCACAAAAAGTACATTTGTCTTTTGTCATCTCACAAACATCGCAAATAAAAGAAAAGGTAATACGAAATTCTTTTTCTTTCATTTCTGCTGTGCGATTGGCTTTTTTCTCGCTGTAATGTGTTGTGCATGCTCTTCAAATTCCACACAACCCTCGCATAAAACGTGTACATTTGCCGCATATATTTAGAAGCTCTGAATTTCATATTATCTTCACTACCACATAAATCTGAGCACTATTTAACATTTGTGACTTTTGCCGTTTACTAAATACAGGGTTTTGTTTGAAACCGTTTGTAGACGTAAACCTGTCGCACAGGCCGCATTTCACAAACAAGTCGTATTCATTCTAAGTAAGTCAAAGATCAGAGTTTATGACAAGAATAAACTGTAGTTTGTTTTTGAATGGTGTTTGTTGAGTTACAGGTTCGGATACTTATACATTATCCACAAGAATTAGTTCACACAAAACCGCGAAAACCAAAGCTATATATGAGCGGTTTTATGTTAAACGGTTCATTGGATAAGACTTGGTTTCTGAAATTATGAAGCCTATCGCGTACCCACGCAGTTTCGCGGCTTTAGCACGGAACGCGCCACTTCGCTGATTAAACTTTGAAAAATGTTTTTTTCGAGTTCAATAAATTTCAACGCTGATTACGAAGCCGCCACTTATTTCTAGGAAAAAAGACAGATTTTTTTTCATCGAAAACTGAATTTTGAACTTTTCAAAAAGTGTACTTCGAGTTTTCTAATCAAGAAAGTTTCTCAAGTAATGCCGAAAAATATACGGTTCAATGAAAATTTTGTTCTCTACAAAATGGCTTATTTGGATTGGGATTTGGTAGCTAGGAACAACTTTTAGTCTCTTATACAGTTTCCAACTTGTTGTTCAGTTTTTGAGCTCTCATGCCGATGAATCAATCTGATTCTTTCGTAGGACGCTTAATTACACAGTAAAGACTAATCATTACAAAAATCAAATCATTTTGACGATATTAGCTACCTCAAAAATAGCTGCCGACAAACTGCGTAACAGCGTTAGGTTGTGTTTTGCATTTTTGACAAAAATAAAAATAGCTGAAAGAAAACTGTTTTTGCCTTTGTAAAGCACATTCAAAACTCTACAGAAGTGGCTCTAAGAGGATTTTATTTAGACAAAATGTGTCGCAAGAAACTAGAGTATTCTCAGTGGCACTGACTAAAGAGAGTCTTTTTATGTAACAACATTACGCGATGATAAAACCTTTCTAGATGTCCGAGACTTCAGCCAAAAAAATATTCTTTTTATACCATTAATTGAGTTCGATAAGCTGCGCCGAGTGGTGTTTCAACTAACTTCCTCGCTATTAAACTTTCCAAGATAATTGAAGAAAAGTGTGTCAAAAACGTAATCGCGCTACGTGGGGACAAGCCGTTCGGCTTTATCAATGGCGGTTCATGAATTCAAAGATAGGCTTTGGTGTCCTTTGTATTATTGCACTATTATTTTTTGAAACTATTATCTATATGAAGTCCTTTCCATAAGACTTTAGATATCATTTTCCTATTTCAGATTTCTTGTGCATGTCAAGAAGTGAGCTGTAATTATCACGTTCATTATACCTATTCATTTCAGGTAATACGTTACGAACCAAGAAATAACTGAAGAAAAAGCACAATCATCTGCACGGTTTGACCATTTTTATATTCCAGTAAGTTCTCGTTTGACGGTATGGATGCGTGTGTAAGTGTAGGTGTAGGCTTAGGTATGATTATATATCATCCGTCTTGGCACTCTCACACTCATACCCATACTTCCAACACTCAAACTAACACGCCAAGATATACACACCCACACCCCCACCCTCAAGATTTCAAACAATGGGGCAGATTCTCATTGACTGACTATGATCTATCACTTTTTTACTTTCAAATTACTTTTCATAGTTACAAAGGGATTTGTTTGCAACGTGTTTTCGAAATGGAGTGCTCTTCCACTTCCACCCGTGTGAAATATTTGGTATATACTATTATATGGTGGACCATCTTTATTGTCGCACTGATCATCAGAGTAACACTAAATAATCAATGCCCCGATGAACCTAGATTGTTAACGTGGTTGATTATCTTCAGCGCTGTCGGACTTAGCAGCTATCTTATGATTGTTTGTGTTGTAAGATGCTTTCCAAAAGCTCTAACCTACTTTTGTTTGTTTTCTGTTGTTTTTTATCTTTAAGGTTTTGTGTTCGTGGTACTCTAAACATAAAGAGCTGTGTTATTATGAGATTGCTGTCATATTCGAAACTACTCTCGTTTTTCTCTTCTTCGTTGTATGGTGTATTCTGGTATTGTATTGGAAGTCAAAAGTTTAATTACTAAAATGTGTTTTGCTTTATAGGGAGTTTTATGGAGTAAAAAATTCATAGGATTCTCTTCATTATCCACTGAATTACAATGCGATGTTCGTTTGTACAATTTCGTCTTCTACATCTCGATCTTTTTTATGGCGTTTCTCTTTTTCTTATTTCTGGAACGGTGCGGCAGAGAACTATACGAAGGTTTCAAAGTACTTTTTGCGCCAATCGAGGCTACCTATACACAAACTTTGTAAACGGTTTAATTGTTCAACCACACTAGTTGGTAGTGGCTGCGCGTGGAAGTTGCAATGTACCCCTTTTTCACTCCTAATAACCAGAAATTCCAGTTTTCTTGAGCAATAGCAGTAGATTTTGCACACATTGTACAATTTTTTTCCACGATTTTCTTGTACATATTTCTTCATGCCAAAACTCATCATATACCCTCAATTATTAGTGTAACGAAATTAAGAATAATTTATATAAATAATGAATATAAATCTTTTATTGAATAAAGAAAAGAAAAATATAAAAATAAATGTATTAACTTAGTTTCTATTGCTTCTTAATTGAGCTTATGGTTCAAACTCTATTCCGGCTTCCAGTCTCCAAATACAATTCAGAATAACTTATCTATGACTGCGTTAAGTCAACCTTCGTTCCTTGTATTCGTGTTAAGACTGACTATATCAAAGAAGCAGAACATGAAAAGAAAAAGAACAAGAACAAGAGAAAGATAAATGTGGTAAAGCGAAAAAGAAGGGGGAGATGATTATTTGAAAGGATGTCCATCTATTTTCTTGGCACAATTAGTCATTCACGCGGTCTCTACTGGCGAATTCAATTATAGAATTTAGCTAGGGGAAAACATCTCTTTTATACAAAATCAGTAAACTTTTTGTATCATCTTGAGGGTGGGTGTGGGCGATGAAAGAAAGGACGCCCTCAGCCACAGCCACACTCACCTCCTCAAATTTTCTCTTTTTTTATGAGGACATATATTTTGAATGTCGTTCGATTTCAGAGGAAATATATTTCCGAGCACCTTCAATTTGGGAGAAAATTTTCGATTTACGTATAAGTTATAACGTACAATTTGTTTCACTTTAGACAAATGTAAATCGAATTTTCTCCGATTATGGATAAAGTACATTTTAGAGTAATTGTAGAATATAGCTGGTTTATGCTCTTGTGGACATTTTTGCTTTTTTACAAATAGCTTTAATTAAATACACTATTGAACAAGTGAAACAAAATAAACATTTTTTTAAATATATATTATCACTGATTTCTCATTTCCGAAGTGATTTTTGAAATCTCCTTCCATTTTATAAAACACCCCCCGCTTTTACCTCTTCGCGCCGCGCCTGCCGCTTATTCTCCCTTGTCCTTAATTCCCACAAGTAGTTCCGCCATTAATTACATTACAGGATAATTCTATTGATTTACGGGTGACCTTTCAGTCTCCTTAGGCCCCATTTCTGGTGGAAACAATGTTCTTTTTCTCTTCATTCAGATTAAAATATAATAAACCAATGTATGAAATTTCGAACCTAACCACTACAGTTTTATTTTATTTCCTTGCTTTAGATCAACTTGAGCATCACTCTACGTTCTCATGGATCAGAAGATTACTGTTCCTGATTGTATTAATGCAGCGTCTAATGTTTCTGACTCTCTTCCTACTGCCATCACACGGCGCCACGTTGTCGAGTGGTTATGGAAGTCAAATACCGAACTTTGGTCTTCGAAGATTCAAGAAGATTGGTGCCCATACACAGAAATCGAAAACGAAATGATTGAACACGCCTTTCAGGCCGGAAAGGAAGAAGTTTTGCTTGACGACTACTGTATTAATTTCAAAAACTCTCTGCACATCTTGAATGACAGCCCGAACGATCAACGGTCTGTCAAGAGAACGGTAGTCGAACTCGAAAAGAAGGAAGGACACATGTTAAAAGAAGAACCATTGTTCTACATTCCCATAAATATGAAGCACGCATTTGCGGACATGGATGTGGGCACGTTTGCAGATATCTCGAAAGGATCATCATATATTCACCGCGATGAATTGTCGATTTTTCTTGGCGATGAAAGAAAGCGTTCCCATCTGGTTGAAAAAGCTGCTCAATGTATCGTTGATGAAGGGTATAGGATGCGTAGACAGCGAGAGGGCGAGTGGATGGCCGAACAATTACTTACGGTCAGTCATGCATCCCTCGAAGAAATAATTGAATGCTGTCTGCTACTATATTCAATGCCGAGTTTTCTTTACAAAAACTTGAACGAAGTGATGAGACTTGCTTATAGCAAGGAAGAATATGAACGATTACTCTTTGCATGTAAACGGTTCGAGGTGAAACCATTTATCGATCTTATGGAAGCGTGCTTGTTTATAGGGTGTAAGATTACTACTCCTTTCAAAGGAACTGTCTATCGAGGAGCAAATTTAACCAAAAAGCATATCCGTCAATTTCGAAAAGCCGTTGGTCGATCAGGAGTCTTTCCAGCATTCACATCAACTAGTCGAAATCGAGAGGTAGCCGAAATATATGGCAATGTTCTCTTTGAAATACAAACGAATGCCTGGAACATAGATATTTCTCCCTACTCAAAAATACCTGATGAAGAAGAACAATTGCTGAGAAACGGATTTATCTTCATTATCACACAAGTGAAACGAGAATCGGCATCGAAAAAATACGTTATCTCGCTCGAACAACATGGCTTTCACGGAGAACATCCACCGAACACTTTGGTTTTCACCTCTACTACAAGTTGCTGGTCTCAGTGTCAAATTCTTTAATAACATTGTACTCTTCGTTGTTGTAGTCTATTATTTTTACTCTTTTAGTTCATGAGGCCGTGTAACTCATCGTTAATATTATACCGCCAAAATATTCGTATC